GCATTCTATTTTCTTAAAGCAGCAAAAGGTTCTGTCAAATCGGAGCATTGCTCTACATATTGTCTATATAAATTTACAAGTCCTAAGAAAGATTCTAATTCTTTTTTGTCTTTAGGTACTTCAACTTTTAATATTTTGTCAATTAATGATTGGTCTGGTGATATGCCTTCCTTAGAAATGGAATATCCTAAAAATGCTATTTTTTTATTGTTGTGCACACATTTTTTTGTTAATTGTTAATCCAGCATTTTTAACTTATTCAAAACTATACTGGTTTTACATTTTAATTCTTTGTTATTAATAGTACCAACACAAATGTCATCCTGGTAAATTATTATATTTTTTATATCGCTAACAATAACTTGCTCTATAACCATTTGAAAAATGACACTTGAAATTTTAATTCCATATGGAATTCTTTTCCATCTTAATAAGCCTATTGGCATGTTAATTGTGACTTCTTTAAAGTCTTCGTCAATAGGTATTTGATGGTATGCCAACTTTAGATCAATTTCAGAGAATGATTTTATACCTGCAAGGGAGTTCAAAGCCCATTTTACATTGGGGATAGGATATGAATATGTACATATTTTGTGGTTTACACCTGTTTTGTAGTCACCACATATGTGCAGATCCCCATCTTTCTTTCTTAAAATTACTAACTGGATGGTCCATTTGCTCCCTCTTGGTGGAACTCATTCTGATAGAACTTGTTCTAGTAATTTATATAGTTTTTCCACAACTATTGGTAGTAAATGGACTGGTACTTTTCATGCTTCAAAATATGAGAAGGGGAGACATTTTCCTTTAGTCTTATTTTTGCTTCATGGCTTTTTAACATTCCACTTACTTCCACCTTGAATTTGTTCACTAATTTTGTTGAATTTATGTTCAATACATCATTTCCTATTAGACTGTGATTCTTTTCATAGTTTGCCACAATAATTGGTAATACATCAAACTTATTTTTTTAGTTCCATGTAGGCTTCAGCATTTTTATCATGGATTTGTCAAACGGATTCAATTGGACATGGCTTTTCTTTAACCTTAGCTTTCCTAATTTCTTCTAGAAATTTCTGTGTATCAACATCACATCACTTCCTGTATCTAGTTGTATGTCCAATTATAAACCACTAATCTGGTGCTCTGATCCAGAACCTGGTCAACAGTCACTGGTTATTCAATCCACAACCTCCCTGCCACATTGTGATTTTTGATCTTAGGGTGACATAGATTGAATCTTGCAGGAACTAAACATATTGAATCACCATGGTGCTGGTCACACAAATGAAAATAATTATTCCTGTAGACAGGAATGACGATGGGAACTCACTGGTCAAATTCAACAATTTTATATAAATTTAGAATACAAATAGAGTTCAGCCCTTCCTGCAGCTTAGTAGCTTGCTGGTTTTTATTTTGCTGGAAACAATCTATTTGTAAGTCGGGTAAGATTTGGTAGTAAAGTACTTGTTGGCACTTGCTCTCCAATCTTGCTGCAGTCTGAGTCTAGGTCTGGGTTCCAACTGTTCGTCTCTCTGGCCTTAGCTCCAACTGCAACTACTGTTCAACTGTCCAAAATGTCTCAAGCATCTTGCTTTTATGGACTCTTGCTCCAAACTGGAGTAGGGTGAATTTTTCGGTGTTTCTTAATTAATTCTATTCTAACAAAGTTTCTTCATTTAGAATTTTTTCGTGAGGTATTATGATTTCCAAATTTGGGAATTACCTCATCCTGCAGGGAGAGGGTAGAGGATTTGCTCCCACTTCCTCAGGGCCATATTCTCCACCAGTACTTTGGTCAGGTGAAGACAACTCCCTCTATCTTTTACCTGAGACTATTCCTTCAGGCTTTCTTATATCAGCCACTTCCATTGAGATGTTGCTTACACTACCACCTGACTGGGTGGAGTTAACTCTTTCTCTACTTAACCTTCCAAGCCTCATCTTGACAGTCATCTGTCTTTTTTTTTCGATTGTCAATGATGTAATGGAATAACCAGTCACCCCCATGAATGATTACACTATAGGTAGTAAGTACCTATAAAGTCCACTGTTTACAAGAGACTCAAGGAGAGAGGAGTGATATAGACGCCGCAAGCACATTCGACCTTCCAATTAGTGTCACTCACTACTAGATTGACCTGTGTGCATAACTGTACTGTATTTCATATTCTATTTGTTGTGTACCATAAACCTTTCTTCTAGTATCCACCTGATGTTATGTGTTTATTCCCTTAGCATGGAACATAACAGTCAACAATTTCACATTTGCAATTTTTATCATTTGGAGACTCTTCAAAATATTTGTCTTTCCCAGTGAAAGTGAAAATTTCCATTTCGGGGTTTATTTACGCATATTTTCTGCCTCTTTAGGACTGTCAAAAATTTGTCTTTATTTTCATAGTGCAACCTATTTCGGTGCCAAGCAGATGCATAATTCATTTTTCCTTAACCACTTTTGGTCCACGCTCTCTTTAAAATAACTGAAGTATTTTTCCCAGGACCTATTCAAAATCCCATTGTCCATTGGTATCTCTCCCTAACTGTTCATTAATCAAATCCTTAAATTATCTTTGGGTTTTTATCTTAAGAAATGCCAAATAATACTGTATACTTTTCAACTCTGGCCAGGTGGAAATTATCCAGATGGCCGTCATAAAATGAAATATCATCATTCATTTTTTTATTGGCTGTCCTTGCTTCTATGAAAAAAAATATGCTTTTTCTTTTAGAATAAAATAGAAACATTTTTTGCTGCTTTTAGCTATCTTTCCTTTTTAGAAAAATTGGCAGGCTTTCTTTTTTTTTCACTGCTTTTCTCGGTATATCTATCATTCTATCCTTTAATTCTTTTAGGCCATTTCCAGCTTATATCTTTTATCATGTTTAACCTTCTATTGCCAGGCCACTTTGTCACACAATAAAACATTATTGATTCAGATTTTTAATAACCCCTTTTCATTTTTTTTTTTTTCATTGAAAAGATGTACATACTTATTTTTGCTTCATTGTTGAACTTTCTGTACTTTTTTCTTTTTGGATTTACACATATTTCTAAAATGATTCATTTTGAAACCTTTTTCACATTTTTTTTATATGCTGGACATTTTCACTTTTTTCTTTGATGTTGATATCCACAATAAGTACACGTTATTTTATCTTTTTTCTTTATTGTGTATGTATCTATTTCCTCTACCAGATCCATAATTTTTGTTCTGTTGAATTTTTCAATTAATTCTTGTTACTGAACAAAGTGTTCTAGTGGGAACTTTCCCAGTTATAAATGCATTAGAGTCATTTGCTGAAACACCTCATTTTGAATGCTGTTTAGTTTACCAATTTCATTTGGCTCAAATCCTCTTTGATTAACTGGTTTTTTGATCCCAGTTTCTCAAATTCACAATATTTAGCAGCCTGTTTTAAACAAAGAATATATTCGATAACTGGTTTATTCACTTTTTGAGAAATATTCATAAACTTAACTTTCTCTGCATTCACTAGTTTTTTCTTTTTTCTATGTTTTTCACTATTAGTCGACTTATATTGTCAAACATCATTTCCTTCAATTGTCTTGGGTGTGCAATTGCTGATAATTTTAAAATGGCGTCACAACCAGCAATTGCCAACAATTATTTGGTTTTCTCCTCCAATTGATTTTGAATCCTTTAGCTTTTTTGCTTTAGCTTTGGCTGCTAGCATTTTAAGCCATGCTTGTATGTATTCATAATTATCAAGGGATAATTGTTTGTTCAGTTCATTAGATTTTGACAATGCCGTTGTCATATATTGTTACCTACTCATGGAATGTAGTATGCACTCAACCGCTTTATGGGTAATAGCCATAGTCATTTATAGTCATTGTGACTTCATATGTAGATGAGTCACCTCACCAAGTATAATGTGATATTTATTATTTAACTTTTATAAAGATTTATTATTTGGCATTGTATAAAGAAATAAATTTGAAAAATCTTTTTATTCAAAAATTTATTCAAAAAAATACAAAATTATCAAAATATATAAACCAACTACGATGCAATATTTGCGGTAAAAATTACAGACATTCTGTAATTATAAACAAGGAAAACTTTATGTAATTGGTCAGCTACTTGATTAGAGGTACATACAATTGGCTGAATGGAAAATGTGTATAGAACCTCTTTACACTTTAGTCTTCACTGGATTTAATTGGTTTGGTATTTTATTAGGGCTACATTTTTCTGTACTTGCTATCACAAATCTTGGTTGTGTATTTAGATCATTTATTATGTGCCTTTCCAATTCAACTTGTTGACTCATTTCAATTGTTATATTCATAACGTTTCTCTCACTCTGTCCTCTTTGTTATTCATGCATTTGTCATATTGTGTTACTTTTGAATTCTGAACTAAAATTCTTCTCATTCCACTTCCCATGCTTTATGTTATTTACCCATTTCTTCTACTGAGCTAGAGTATTTTTTTTACCATCCAGTCAATGGGATTGAACTCACAACTACTAGGGAACCAGATATGCTTTAACTAGATGCCTGGAGGCTGTGAGTGTCTTGGGCAATTTAGTGTTGCAAATTTTTAATCTTAAACTTAATGCCTGTATTCAGGTTGTGGAATTTTTTAGTGTTCTTTCTTATTCAGAAGCTCCCAGATGGTGTTCATCTCTATGCTAGGTCTACTGCGGAGGTTGTCACAGATTGTCAAGATGTGTTCTAATGCTTTCAGCTATCTCATCGTTTACTGTTTTTTATCCATTATGTTGACTTTATTCCACAGGGGTTAGTGGTAACCATCTTTTTCACTCTATACTTGATCAGCCATGCCTGATTTCAACATTGAAATGAATATACTAATCTGAATGGAAGGGCATATAATGATTAGCAAGCCATTTTCTGAGGATACTGACTTCAAGCTTTACTGAATGCTTCACTAATATTTCCTTGAAATGTGTAACCAACAAAGTCAATCTAAATGTTATTGTTCCTTTTCTTTTGTGCTTTTCAGATGCAAAGCGAGCAAAAGTGAAACTTGATGAACTCCAAGAATTGATTGAAATCCGAAAACAGAATCAGTCTTTAGGAAATAGTTCTTCAACTTTGCCTGGGGTAAGACTCATAAATATACGTCATTAATACATTCTATGATTGGAGGTGGCTAGGATTTTTTTTTTTGTTATAGGTTTTTTTCCCCTAATTTTCTTCCATGCTCTATCTTTAAAAGAGTCAGATCAGACCAATAATGGAGTATTGTTGCTATATCTGGGCTGGAGCTGCCCAATCATCACTTTCCAGTTCAAAAGCATTTACAATGCCTTGTGGGTGATGAATTGTTTTCTACTCTACAATCCCTTTTCCCACAAACATAATGTTGCTACCTTTTTGCTACTCTATTGCTATTTTCCTGGTAGATGTTCAGATGAAATACATTCTTTACTTCTACCAGTTCAGACCTTTACAGATAGGACCTACTTATGCCATGTATACAGATTCAAATATTTCCCTTTGTATTTTATTGATAAGGAGAAAATTCCACTGAAGTTCTTCCCATTAGCTGTTATTTTATGGAATAGTCTCCCCAAAGGATGATTCTCTGATCACAACAATGTTAACATATTCATGTCTATGTCATGTTATCTATCCTACATATCCTCATAATATGCATTTCTTATTTTTTCCTTTTATGCCCTTACAACAACCTCATTCAGTAACCCTCTACCTTGAGTTGCTCTTGGAGGCTTTGTATTGGGTGGACAATAGTACTAAAAAAAATTGCTGTTTACTTTTCCTCCTTTTCATTACTACTGATACTTTGTGTATTCAGTGGGAAAATATCTGACATATACAAGCACACTATTAAATTGATTGATTAGAAAATGTTTAATACTCACATTAAATTATAAATGTAACTTTGAATTTAATAATCCTTAAATTTCTCAGCTGAAGTGTTGTCATTTTCAATTTTTTTTTTTCTTTTGTATTTTTGCTTTTAATCACAACTCTGAGGTTCTTATTCTATGACTATTAAGTGGCATAGATGAGAAATAAAGAATGAAGCTCCAATGATCTTTGAACACTCTATCTTTGGGAGCCTGTTATACTATAACATTGTGTTATCAATTAAGTCACAAAGGCTTCACTGGCTGATATCATCCAAATACACCATATAGCTACATTATTTTCTTCTCCAATTTTATCAGTCAGTTATGTGCCATGCGTGATACACACGTAGGTGATAATTTCGGTACATGACTGATGAGGCAGATGTTTTCTCACAGTAGGTTGCCATTTCTTTCTGTGGTAGACCAGTTGCTATCCAATGCTATAGAACCAGGTCTGTTCTGCTATTTACCCATAGCTGGCAGGAGAAGAAGAGGATTCATACATTTCCCAAGAGTATTAGCAATAAGTAAATGTAATGGCTTTGATTGGAATTTGAACTTGGCTCACCGATTCCTCATTCCGAGCCACTATCCATTACTCCACCATACTTCCTATATATACTAGACCCATGATAAAAAGCAACATGTAAGATAAACAAACAACTAGATAAAAACTAATAATAATAGCTTCAAGTTTGTCTTCTTTCTAAGTCATTACAATTGTTAATATTACTAACAATGGGTAAACAACGCTTTTTCTTTTTGCTTTCAAACAAGACCAATTTGATGAATATACAAAAGCCAATCATATGTAAATCTCAGAATATGTTAGCTTAGGACAAAGCCAACTTTTCCTTTTTGAAGGTCTATCAGTGGCTTCTACCATAGACTTTTAAACTCCCCAAGATAAAAGCACCCAATTAATTTTATTTATTTGTTTATTGTAGATTTCTAAAGCTGCTACTTCCTTGTTGACCAAATCACCTTATGATGCACGAGTGTTGAAAAACAGGTTAAAATCTCATGACCGAAAACCAACGATCAATCTGCAGAATTCTTCCACAAATTTGGAGCCATATCTAGGTGGGGCTAAAAATCCTTTTAGCATTTTGAAAAATTCTTCTGAAGAAAAAACAGAATCTCTAAAGCCTTACTCAAGGAGAACAAGAATGAAAGATGGCCACACATCTCTACTTTCTGTAGAGGAAACAAATGACTGTTTGTCATCAGAGGCAAAAGATGGACAGTCAAATTTAAACAAAGTCAATCAGTTAAAGAAGAAAATTGAATGGGACAATTTTACTGTTAGTCTAGCAAAAAAGAAATGTTCCAAATTGAAGTCAGTCTTAAATTCTTCAGGTGATGACAAATCATCTTTGACTCATCTTCCTAAAGACTCGAGAGCAAAGATCAAAGATGATCAGACAAATGAATTGGCTTATAAGTATTGGCAACTTGCTGGGTAAGTAAAACTTTAATTGGAAACATTCTAACTTTAATTTCTTTCAATGTGAATCATAAAAAAAAATATGTGAGGGGTATTTGGGTAAATTGTCATTAGTCAATAAGTTTTATTATGACATGAAAAAGGAATAAGGGAAAAATAAAATAGTAAGTTTTGAAACTTCAATTTGAAGAAATATTAAAAACTAAAGCTAGCTCCAGCAGAAGGATCTTGATTGGGCCTTTGGCCCAACAGTGATATTTTATGTATTGTGTACATATTAAATTTGATTAAACTTGAGTAATATTTTTCATCAAAACAATGATATAATTTGTCTATTTGGAACTTATTGCAAAGCTGCATGATAAACAACATTTTTGGTTTTCCCATTTGGCATCAGTACAAATAGCTTGTTGCCATTCCCAACCCTTGAACAACCAACATAGAGGTGGCTGTGTGGAAAGCAGAGTTCCATCAGATGAAGTCCAGTTACTTTCAATAATTGTCCTTGGGACTTATTGATTGACATTGCATAGCTCACTCTCACTGGAAACTGAACTCTTTTGAACTCAGAAAGAAGATTTGGTGGAATTAAGGGGATTCTTAGAATTAAAACTATTTCCTCCTTTCTTGGACCAGTAAGGATCTCTGCTTCCAACAGATAAAGAAGCATCTTCTTGACAATTAACCTTGTTCCATTACAAAACTTTGGAGGATACAGATTTCTCAAGAGCATAACTGGGACATTTTCTTTTAGTTCCAGCTTGTGTGATAGCATTCCAGTTGGATTCAATGAGTTCAGGAACTCTATTTGTTAATTCATTGCCTGCTCTTGTTCAACCACAGTGTCAATGGAAAAGTACTTCATGCTTTCTTTTGGTACAAAAAAACTTGGAGATGTTTCCAGTTGATGCTAGCCACAGTTTGATTCTTGGGAGCTAATATGGCCCCCTCACAAAGCCAGTTTGAATCCATGAAATGGTGCTTAATGTTTGGATAAACATGGTTAATCAAGTTTTGGATACTTGAGAATGAAACTTCACAACCATTTGGGATTGAAATATCTCCATTTTGATGCTTCCATTGCCAAGTTGCAACAGCAAAGCAGCAAATCTTCCTGCTTCAACGTCACCTGTGATTCTAACTCTTATGTTTGTTTTCAGGCTGAGTCTTTGAACATAGCTCCAGATGTGAGAATTTTTCAAACAGGCATTAATTTCATCAGCTGGGGTTCCTCTTTCAATGACTGGTAATGTTTGTCTAAAATCACCAGAGAGTAGCACAGTGATACCTCCCATGATTTGTGAATTGTGTCTAATATCTTCAAGTGTTTTGTCCAGGGCCTCAAATGCGCACTTGTGTGCTATGGTACATTCATCACAGACAATGAAGCGTGTGTTTTCCAGTAGTTTGGCCAAGTAGGTTCCTCTTTTGATGTTGCAAATAGGGATTTCATTGTAGTTCAAATCCAATGGAAGTTTGAAGGTGTTGTATGCTGTACGCCCTCCAGACAAGAGGGTAGCAGCAATTACAGATGATGCTACTGCTAGAGCTACTTTTCTTTGGAGCCTCACTGCAGATAAAAGAAAGTTAGTTACAAAAGTTTTATCAGTACCTCTGAGTGCATCCAAGAAGAAAATCTCACCATTGTTGTTGCTGATGTCATCAAGGACCTTCTGATACACTTGCTGTTGGTCTTGGTTCAACAGGGGCTCATTATTCTGAACACATTGCAGCAGTTCTTCCATGTTGTATCCAGTTTTTCTCAAAATTTCTGTTGATTTGTCCAGTTTTTCTGTTAGGATTTGGCAGACCAAAATTGCTGAAATCTCTTTGAGCCAAGTTCATCACTTTGTCTTCAATTTCACAGAGAGCTAAATTTGCAATCTGAGGATTCACTTCCAATCCTGGATGAGCAAGTCTCATTTGATGACGAGTATCATCACTTGAGAGTCTCCTGATATTTTTCCCAAAGAGTAACTGGGTTGAAAAGTCCACAGGTGGCAATCATTATTGCAAACAGATCTCATATCCCAATGATGATCATCTGTAAGGCCAAGCTCAATACATCCTTGTCTGTAAATCTGACAATTCCATCAATTGTTCTCAAGTCTTGAAATGTTGGGCTCCTTATGTGATGAAGCAACAGTCTAAGACACAAGCATTCAGGATTTCTTAGATGGACTGTATATACTCTTCCAAGTACATCTCCCATTTTGATTCCAAGTTCAAATGGATGAGATTCTCATTGCTTTCTCCTCAGAAATTTTCCTGCCTTCTAGGTTTAGTATTTGTAAAGTTCAGGTTACAGGATTATTCTTGCAAAACCATCATTTTGACACAGCTCTAAAATGCCATTAGTGTTGAGTTTCTTAAGAGTTTCAGCCAGTTCTCTTGCATAACTGTATTTTTTTGTTTGATTATATAATATATATATATATATATAAAGATTTAAGAAACAGCAGATATTTTTATATATAGTGCTCAATATTAAAAATATCAAAATAATATTAAAAATAGAGCATACACACACACAATGCTGCACAAAAATAAGTGAACAATGAAGATATGTTTTTTAAATTGTCTCTTTTTTTCCAGATAACCAATGAATCTTAATTAAACTATAAGAAACTAAAAGAAAAACATTTATTAAATGAATTACAACCACTTTATAATTTTTTTAACGAGCTGGAATAAAAATATTAATTGAAAATTAAGATGTGCAAATGTAAATGAATCCTTACATTTACACCGTGTATTTTTCTTTTACATGGTTGCTAGTGCAAATAAGTTTTTGAGGCATGTGTAAAAATCAAAATGACACATGTTCATTTTTTTGGTAAGCTGTGTATACTGCAGTCAACCAATATAACACATTGTGCATGCAAGAGTGCAGTTATATAGTAAATTAAAAAAAAATGCCAAGATCAAGAACTTTGTGAAGCCTTAAAAAAACCACATAGTTGAAGTCAATAATGATGGAAAAGGCTACAAAAAGCTATCAAAATGATTTGGAATGCTTGTCTCCACTGTGACAAATTATTTATAAATGGAAGGCCTTTAGTATGATAACATTGCAATCAAGAAGTGTTTGTCTGTGAAAAATAACTGCAAGTGCAATTAGACATCTAGTTTGGCAAGCCTAGGTGAATCCTACTCTAATCTCTGTGGTTCTTCAATGCTCCTGGGCCAATGTCAGAATCAGTGTGCATACATCTACAGTGTGACAAAATATGAATGATACTGGTCTTGATGAATGCCTAGAAAAAAGCTACTGCATACAAAAAAGCACAACCAAGTTCGACTCAACTATGCCAAAGCTCATCATGTTAATAAGCCAGAAATGTTCTGGCAAAAAGGTTTATCATTTTATTTCATTTTTCTTATTTAGTAGTTTGTTGGGGTTTTCCAAAACTAATTATTTGTAATTTTTCCTCTAAGAACAGTTTGCAATTCTTGCTGTTAATACTGTATGGGGTGCCTTTTTTATAATTTTCAGTTTGATTTTGGTGGGGGATATTGTTTTCTTTTTGGGTCCATATGTATTTCGATAGGGTTGTGTTTTTGGCATATTTTTTTCTGTCAAAAGACATTTCGTGGTCATATTATCTTTCTTTTAAAGTTTTTTCTGTAGCACCTATATAAATTTTTTCATCTGTGTTAGTATTATTAGTTATAGTTGCTTTTCATATTATGTTATTGGTTAAGCATTTGTTATTAAGTAGACAATTTTCTTTGTTACTACATTTGATGGTATTATTCTGCTGATGGTTACTTTTGTTGTGATTGCTGTTGTTATTATTGTTCTTGTTGATTTTGTTGAATATTTCTTTATTGGGCTTGATTATTATTTTTTCAATGTTATCCATGCAGCTGTGACTGATTTTGATTTTGTTTCTATTGATAATTTTTGATAATTTGTTGTTTTTAGGGAAAAGTTTATTAATTAGTTTGAAGAATATTTATCCTATTTTTGTTTTTATTGTATTAATTTAGGGGGGTGAACCAAATTATATTTTGTTTTATGTTGTTTTAGTTTTCCTTTTCATATTCAAGTTTATTTGAATATCTGCTGTTTCTTAGGGCTGATTTTTATATTTTTTAAATTTTCATTGAATATAGCAGCTTAAAAATATTCAATGAAAACAAGAAAAACAAAATTTTAGTGAGTTTGTTGAAAGTCTTTTATTTATATTTTTATTATTTATTTTTATATTTATTATTTATTTTTGTTTATTTATAGATATGGGTATTTGAATATGGTAGGGGGTGGAATTTTGTTAATATATATTAGGTTGTTATTTGATTTTCTGTAAGGTTTGTATGTTTTGTTGTTTAAGTTGAACATTACATCTATAAAATTTTTTTTTTATTGGTTGGATTTTAAATCAATTGTATATATATATATATAGTCAGAATTGGTCATTTTCAAAATTGAAATGTATCCAATTTTTTTTCCTTGATATTGAATGACACTGATAAGATTTATAAATGAAAATGTTTTCAGGCTGACAAAAAGAAAATGTGAAATTGTTGAAGAATCATGCACAGAAGCCATCTCAATATATATATATATATATATACTTTCATTTTTTATTACCTTTCCTCTTTTACACTTTCTTCACTGATATTATACTATCCACCTGTTCTCTACCTTACTTATCAATATTATTATGAAATTTTCTTTGTCAGAAAGTGTAAGTGATTTAATCTCAGAAGAGTTGGTACAGATGATACACTCTGATCCTGTATTTATGTACCATACTCTCTCCAATGTTGTTATATAGTTAGTTTCAGTGATGAGGTGGCTATCACATACATGTGGGCCAAGAGCAAAAATTACCCTGTGACTCCAACCCTTTTTGTTTGGTGCCTTAGGAGAAGTGCTTTGGCAGGGCTGGAATTCCTGAAACCAGGCACCCTTTATTGCTTTGCTTTGAATTGCCTGAAAGCAGAGAAACATGACATTGATGATGTCATACCCTGCATAATGAGAATAGTATAAAGAAACTTTGATTCTATGCAGAAATGTATTGCAGGCATATATAAAAAATAACCAAAATAATTGTATACATTAGTTTCCTGTCTTTTTTTTTATTTCCTTTTTATATATATTTTTTTCAGGTCAGGTTGGAAGAAAAACTGGAGTGGAAAATGGGAAAAAGATGAACAAGCAGAGTTTGATTCTGATGAAGAACCACCGGATTTACCTTAAAATATTTTCAGGTGATTTTATGCAATTAGCGGAGCAAAGAATTGAACCAAATATGTGAACTTTTACCAGCAAAAAAAAAAAAAAAGATTTAAAATTTCAAAATTTCACCACTTGATTGCTGTACAGTGACCTTGTGGATATAAGTGTTTGAATACCTACCTGCTGGTCATGAGTTCCATTCTCAAGTCAAGCAGTCAAATCTATATTCTCTGAATCAGTGGAGTAAGCAGAGGTGGCCTGACAAGGACAAAGCGGGATGAGAACAACTTACCTATGTATTGAATAAAAGGTTTAGTTTAAAATTCCAAGAACTTTACAAAATACAACAGCTATCTGAAGAAGGCCAGAGTGTGCTGTAGATGAAATGTGGCTACAAAAATGAAGATGATAACAAGAATTTAAATAAATTGATTTTTAATGATTTTTTTACTTGATGCATTTCTTTTTGTTGTTATTTCTCAACACTTTTCAAAGAGAAGTAGACATTCTTCTATTTTAATAAACCTCTGATGATCTATTTGAGTTACTGAATAGAGGCCTTTTGTCTAAGCTGCTTTATATTGAAATATACAACCTCCATTGATCCAATCTTGACCAATTGAAGTATCTCTTTCTTAGATTTTTTAGTTGTACTGCATGGTCAAAAGAGTTAATTTAGTTTAAGTAAAAATAAGATTAATTTTTTTTTTCAATATTATCTTTATTGGACATCACATTTACCATTTTTGTCACACTCTGTTCTTTTTTTCTTTTTTTTTAAGCAGTTCACCCCAAGCAAGGCAGGAGTGCCACTAGCACTCAAGAGGTTACAGAGAGTGAGAGTAAAAGTAAAGAGGTGTGACACCCGCCGGTGGTCGCGGTCACAGTTGCAGTCCAGCGCCAATATGTGACGTCCACTGGTTGCGACGCCAATATATGACACTGCGCCATCGGCCTGTAGTCAACTCCCAGTTGCGGTGCAAAGCTGTAAGGTTTCTACCACCAGAGTTTTGGGGTTGACTCCTTGTTGCTGCCACCAGCCTGTGTCCTGGTCGATCTGGTTGTTTCCAGTTCGGTACCAGCTTTGTCGTTTCTCAGCTCGCCTCCAACGCTTGGTCACTGAAGTAACTGCTTTGATCTCAAGTCCAACCTACCCACATTGTGACTATGATTTTAGGTAGATGAAATCAATCAGGCGTTGAGCCGTAGTGCAAGCTGAATCTGGGGTAAAGGTGATACCACACAAGTGTAAGTAAAAGAAAAATAATAAAACAAACTCACGAGGTTCAAATATGTTGAGAAATAGCAATTATCTTTATCTGTCTGTTGAATACAGGAGTGTGTTTCTCTCATGGCCTGTTTCTATGGATTCGTGACACTTTTTGCGTTTCTTAAGCGAGTTATGGTATCTTAAGTCATTTGTCAATAAAAACTTGCTTTTGGTAGGAAGACTAAGTCGAAAAGAACATGGAAATCTTTCAGTCAGCTTCTGTGAGCCAACACTCTGATTCTGTAACTCCGACCGTGTCTGGCTCTGCTGAAACTCTCTGTGTCCAGCTGCCTTGAGACGTTCGTTTATATGGACACCGACCAACACCGGGGTGCGGCCTGACGTGGTTTGGGTTCTTTGACAATTCTTAATTCCAAACAAGAATTCTCTTTGTTCTTAGGCCAGGAAAAATAATTACTTCCCATTTTTGGAAGATTAATCATTTTCCACTTCGGGGTTCCTCCTTTGTCCATGAGGGAAGGTTGGAGGATAGTTATCCTCCTAGACTCTTCCTCTCTCACATTGATATCTCATACCAATCCCCTCAATGGGACTTAACAACTTCTCCATCTTTCTCATACATTCACCTCCGCCTATCACCCATGCTACCGGTTAGCCAATGATCTCTTGGCAGTGTGGGCATGGCTAGACTGTCCCTCTTAGAATTATTATCAAAAATTTTGTTTACAAAATTCTTATTTTCTTTTCTTTTGGCCAAAACATTTACAATTTCCAGATTGCCAATTAATTCTTTATCACATCCCAAATCCATGTGTTTACCTGATAATTAAATTCTTTATTTTTCTCATGTCTTAAAATTCTCTTATCACCAGATGCTCATTTTCGAGTCAACAGTTTGAATAAGCAATAATAATGATCCCATTTTCGACCCTCTTTTTATTTTCATGTCAAGATTCATACATAGACCAGATGGCTTCCCTCACTGAAATCAGGAATTAAAGTTAAATGATATCTCTGAAAGATAATTAATAGCTATTATCTAGGGTGGTCTCAAGCTGAAATTTTTTCATGGCCGCATGTGTCGGTCGACTTCTTTCAGAATTCTGTTTCGTTTGACGTGTCACTCCCTTATCATGACATTAATTAATTTGACAGTCTCGCTCCTTCTTACTGATTTTCTGTCTTTTGTGAAAAGTATCTTCCTTTTGTAAATAAAATAAATTCTTTTTTTTAATGTCACTCAGTCTATCTTTCTCGCCTTAAGTATTTCCCATTTTTAATTTCTATGGTTAATTAGTTAGCCAATTACCATAGCTAAATAGTGTCACAGAGGAGTGTTTGGGAAAAGAATAAAGAGAAGGACAGGGATCAAGGTCAAGGCATCAGAAGATGTCAATTGACATTAAATTTGTATACTTAAAAATTATAGCTATCAGGAAAGCAAGTTATAGTCAGGGAGTTCCACTGATGGGAGGTGCGAGATAAGAAGCTGTTGGAGTAGAAGAGATGGCTACATTTAGCCGTTTCCACAGTAAAAGGGTGGGACCGAGATGCCAACCTAGTAATGCGGTTAAATTCATGCAGTTTGAGAACCAGTGAAAGTAGTTCATTGGAGCAGCTGCCATGAAAGTACTTTTAGAAAAGGTAGAGGGAAGCCACAGCACGTCTGTGAGATAGTGACTGCAGGCGGGATACCAGATCAAGACCAACCACATTGCATATCTGTCTCTGGATTTTATCTAGGACCTCAAGATGAACAGCGGGAACACCAGATCATATATGGCAGCAGTATTCCATGCTAGGACAAATGGTTGATTTGAAGGATGGACTCCAGCAAGAAGAATCTTCTGACGTGACACAGAGAACCAACTTTCCTTGCAGTAGATGAAGCTATAGATTCAATGTAGTTGTTCTACTTCAGGTCAGTAGTCAGTGTGAGACCAAGTAGGTGCAGTTAGTGGATGGCTCTCTCTGGGGTGGAGTGGGGTGTCACCATGATTTCATTAGCTTAGCAGCTCCAAAAGGTTATAATTCAGCTCTGGACTTTACTATCACCATTTAGAATGAAGGGTGATTTTTGTGAAGTTGTGTATAGGCTGTAAAATATGGTATACCCAAAAATCTGAGATGAAATTCCAGACCTATAATATTTTTTTCTTCTTTCTCTTACATGGATTAGTTGTTTTCAAAATCAAAAATAAAGCTTCTCAGCCTGTAATCTTATCATAAATCATTATGTAGAAATTCTTCTTTACAAGCAACCATATCACTTACAGGTGAATATCATTAAATAGTATTTTGATAAATTTGAAATTTGTCATGATTTAAGTTCTTTAACTTTTCAATCCTAGTTATGCACAATTTATTTTTATATTTGAAGTAAATAGCAATATTGATTGTCAGATCAAAAAAAATCATAAGTTTGAGATGGTAATTCCAAAGGTCAAAAATAAGTCTCACAACACACAAATACCTTCTTCAGTCACAAAAACCCAAATGCTCTCCTGAGATCCAAAGTAGTGTACCTTTTTTATCGGGGTAAGAAAAGTTGTGATTGGGTGAGACTGTTAAGGAAGTGTGAACAATTACCATATTTCCAGGTCTACTAAAATCAGCTCAATCTTGATTCTGATTTTCTTTTTAGACAGCACAAAAAACACAAATTCTTTTTTTAGGTAAGACTTGTTTTTCTCTTGCATTGCCACAATATTAAAGAGACTTTCATTTAGCACTGTTCTTTTTAATATGAAAATGTTTTTTTAAAAAGAAACATTTTTTTTTCATTTTTTTAGATGTGGAGCTAAAATCAGTTTGGCATTATTTACATAAGTTAACGAATATTATCATTATCAGATATTTTCTTGGGATGTATATATTCTATTAAGATCAAAAGGATTAAATTTCATTGGATCTGTCTCCAGTGACCGAAGTAAAGAGAAGAAAATTTGTCAAATTAACTAAAACGGAAAATAAACGCAAGGGAGATAACTCATAATCAAACACGTCAAATTCAGTATTTCATTTTGCTTAAAGACTTTGAATTAAATGTATTATTAATCAATAATATAATATTTTTATCTGACCCTGATGAACAACAACATCATGAAACTTTTAATTGGTCACAGACAAGTATTGTGAACATTTTATTTATTGATAATAATAATTATTGTTCTAGTTATTTGTTGAGCACTCTTAGTGCCAAAATTCTGCTGATATAATTTGACATATATCAATAGGTGTTATTATTATATAGATATCTAGATATAGAAAGATATTTACAGATGAGCCAAATGAATGCATATGGAAATTTCTTTTCAGTGATTCATTTTATCACTGTTTACAAAAATTTTAAAACAAAATTTTATGAAAAAATTTTTCAGTGCTAAACACATTAAACTGGTGATTTAATTATTTTAGATTGATCTAGATGTTTTTTTTTTCTTAAATTGTCAAATTTATTAGAACTGTTGTTCTCATCTTTCTTTCAAACAGATGTTATAGTTTGTTGTTATAAATGTTAATATAGGCAAAAGTGTTTTGCTGTCTACTTCCATATATATTCAGGTATCTATTTTCATTTGATAGGGGATATTTTGTAGGACTGTTTAAATGTTTGAAATCCTGAGATGAAAAATTGTGATTATTGCTAGAATTATTCACCATTGCAGTATCTCCATTTTTAGTTTGATCACCAAATTTCAGCTGATACATTTTGCTAACAGTTTCGTCTACTGCACTTCTCGCTTGTGGAACTCTCTTTTGACTTCTTGCTTGCCAGTCAACTTTGATTCTCAAAAATTTAAGAGTAATGTCATTCATTATCTTCTGTCTTAATTCCTGTTCACTTAATGTTTGTTCTCCTTAATAACATTTCTTTTCAGTATTTTCTCACATTCTATCTTTTTTATTTTGTTAATGTTCATTGCAGTTTCAAGTTGAATGCCTTTTATGGGTATGAAACATTTCTGAGCAAATCCAAAAACTCCACATCCTTTCCATTGGAAACACTGCATTAATGCAGGTATCCTGCAGAGTTCTATCCTTGGACCTACATTGTTCCTAATTTTCATCAATGACCTTCCTGTTGGCATCAATTCTCAACTTGGGGTCTATGCTAATGACACAAATATTTACTTCTGTCTTATGGTAAATCTCATTGGTTCATTAAGGTCGAATTGGCAGCTGGACTCAAAAATAATCTTTTGGTAACTGGTCCAAGGAATAGCTTATTAATTTTAACATCTCCAAAACGAAACTACTCTCTGAGAGAACCTTTTTTTCCTTCTATCAGCATGGCTGATGCTAACCCACCGTAGGGTGACTCATTGTGTGTTCTTGGGCTAACATTCTCTGCTGATATGAAATGGAAAGATTATATTGAATCAATTGCTAGGTCTGCTGCTAGGAAAGTTGGTTCACTGTGTTATGTTAGATTTTCTCTCAGGATCCATCTTACACATTTATAAGTCTACCATTCATCCAAACTTTGAATATTGCTCCTGCTATATATTTAGAGATTCTTGATAAAATCCAAAGAAGAATCTGAAATGTTATTGGTCCTGACCTGGCATCTCAGCTTCAGTCATTTTCCCACTGCCATAATGTAACTTCCCTGTGCCTTTTCTATAAATACTTTTATGGTAATTGTTCTGATGAACTTTTCTCTATGGTACCTAGACTTTATCAATTGAAGCACAGTACTAGATTGGTGGCTAGGTCTCATCATTTTACATTTTTGAAATGGCTAAATGTAACTTTAAGTTCTATGTAAACCATTTCTTCTCTTGCACTTCTCGCTTGTAGAACTCACTTCCAGCTTACAAAAATTTCCAGCCAACTTTGATCGCTGAAATTTTAAACTTAAATTTTTTTTTATAACATGTGTTTGAATATAGAGTCTATCTAAATTCATTTAGCTTCTTTTAGTTCATGTTTTTATCACTTTTGCTATTAAATGTCCCATACTGTGATAATAGAAGATTGCCTAAGAAAGGTGAAATATAAGAAACTGGACACAAATTTACTGTGGATGGTCTAATGATTAACACACTTTCTATAAACTTTTGTCTTAGTAAATTGTTTTCTCTAAATTAAAGTAGCATTTTTTAAATTGAAATTATGGTCAGACTCATTAGAGTGAACAACTAATGCATTAAGTGTGTTGTTTTGTAAAAGATCACTTCCATGATCACATAATCTCTTATCTAAATTCCTTAGGGTTTCTCCAATGTATTCTTTGTAGCAGTTATTACAGGTGATAGAGTAAATTCCTCCTTCAAGTTTTAACTTATTTTGTTTTGTATTAATTAAGTCTTTTATTGTTTTAGAAGTAGTTGTAACAAATTTTATGTTAATTTTTTACACTTTGTCATTAATTTTCCTAACATTGTTTTGGTATGTAAAAATGTATATATCATTTTCTCCCATATATATATATATATATATGTATGTATAGGAGAATCAGAATTGTTAAATTGATTGATTGGTTGGTTTTCTATGGCTTATCAACCCTTTGCAGGTTATTTAATGCCACAAAATATTTTTAGATTGTAAGAATTTTGTGAGAGATAATAATGGTTTAATGATACAAGTCTTATTAATTAACCCATAGCTGCAGGGAGAAAAATGGATTCATACCTTTCCCAGGGGTATTTGCTTGTATGTGAATATAATGGGAACTGGAATTTGGCTCTCTGATTAACAATTCCAAGCCATCATCCATTACAGCACCTGGTATTTCCAAGTGGTCACCTATCTAAGTACTGACAAGGCTCAATGTTGCTTAACTTTGGTGATTATAGAGCAACTGGTGTTTTAACATGATGTGGCCGTAAGTGAAAAATTTTAAATATTTTAAGATTTTAATACTTGTATATGTATAATATGCCAAGTGTATTTGTATACATCTTTTTTTTTGTCTGTAATGTTCTGCTTTACTTAGAATTATCTCCCTTGCACTGGCGACAGTGTATTTATTAATACTGAACTGTTCCAAGATATTTACAAAGCCAAGTGGTGAAAAGACTGAGTTTATGAAAGAGCAGAACACAATAATAATAATAACTGAAAAAAATATATTTTGTAACACACATGTGAAGTCCTTGTAATAATCGTAAGGACTTAACAGAATATCAATTTCGTATCTGCTGCCGTTTTTATGGCATTGATAAACTACTGATCACCTATGTGTGATAAATGTTATATTTCTAAATTGTTCAGGCTTTTAATGTGTTTCAGCCAATTAAACTCTCAACCTTCTTGTTCCTTATGTTTATATCTCCATCCATTTATTTTTTTTTTTTTTAAGATTTCTTAGTTAATTCAAGAAATCCACACCCTTTATGTTGGAAATACCAGAACATGCTGATTTTCTTGTACAGTTGATCTACAATGAAAGATCATTGATTTATACATGAGAATCCATCAAAAATACATGAATAGTAAAGGGAATAAATATATATAATTTTTTTTTAAATAATTTTACCTCAAGCAAGGCTAAAAAAAAAAAAACCCACTAAGATGCAAAGGTTACTATTCTCTTTTAATCATCTTAGAGAATATTTTTTGCCTTCCATCAGCATAGTGGATGCTAACCTCCAGGAGAGTGACTTTGTCTTCTTGGTTTAAAATTTTCTGATGACATGACAAGGAAAGATTATATTGAATCAATTGCTAGATTTACTCCTAGGAAAGTTGGTTCATTGTATCATTCTAAACAAATTTTCTCGACAGAAACTGCATCAAACTTTGCCAGAAGCTTGTTGATACCTGTGTAGAGAACTTTCAAAGTTGTTGAAAGTGTGTGGAGAAGAGTGTCTTTGTATAATTTTTGTCTGTAATGTCTCTTAGTTTTCTTTATTATAATTATCTCCCTTGCACTGGCAACACTAAGTGACAGTGTCTTTATTAATAGTGAACTGTTTCAAAAAAAAAAAAAACCTTTTTTATGGCATTGGTAAACTCCTGATCAGCTATGTGTGATAAATGTTATATTTCTAAATTGTTCAGGCTTGTAATCTGTTTCAGCTGGTTCACTCTCCAACCATCCTTGTACTTATATTTCCATCTGTCCCCACCACTTCACAGTATTTGAACAAGAACCATTGAGCATGTAAAATTTCTTAATAAATCCAAGAAATTCTTCTCCAATGAAAGATTATTGACATATGCAAGAGAAATCATCATGAAAAATAAAAAAATTCTGTACATTAGCATTTATTTTTTTCTTTTTAAATGTCATGTATCTGGCTCTCGACAGATTTCTTTCTTTAATATCAATAAGTTTCTACAACTTGGGAAAGATAGTGAAGTTGTTTCTCACTACCTTCAACACAGTCTTGAATTTAAGATTGTCCTTCTAGATCTGCTGCCTTCCAAGGCTAGAGAACCCAGTCTACTCTGCTATTTAACCCATACCTAATAGGGGGAGTTGAATTCATACTTTAAGGGCATTAGTGTTAAGTAAATACAACTGACCAGTCCAGAATTTGGACTTGGTTCACCAATTTCATTTTTCATACAACTTGCCATTATGCTCCCTGATTTTTTTTTAAAATCATTTCACCACAAGCAAGATAATAATGCCAGTTTTTAATTTATTTATTTGGATTGATTATTTTTTACTTGTTTTTACTTATTTTTATTAGTTCTGACGGTTATTTTAGTGGGGGTGATTTGTTCATTTATTTATTTATTTGGATTAATTTTTATTTGTTTTTTATTTATGTAGCTATTTTGTATATTTTTATTTACTCTATTTGGTTTTAGATTTTTGTGTGACATAGTAATGTTTTTTTTATTGTTATATAGAAGTTATAGCTATTTTTACATCCAATTTTTGGATTGGTTGTTGTAGTCTATTCTAACAGCTATTTTGGTGGGATTTGTTTTTAATTTGTTTATTATTATTATTTACTTTATTTATTTGGGTTGATTATTTTTACTTTCTTTTATGTATTTTATTTTTTATTTTTATTTATTCTATTTCGTCTATCCGATTTCATAACAAACCACAGGAGTGGTTTGTTAATTTGTTTGGGTTAATTTACTTTACTTGTTTTTTATATTATTTTGTTTATTTATATTTATTCATTTCAATTTTTGATTTTTAAGTAACATGGTAAAAATTTGTTTTCATGTCTGCATTTTGAGATAAGCTCAGATCGTTTATTTAATAATTTATTTTGGTCTGGGAAGGTACTAATAGCTATTTTTTCCTCCAAGCAGAGTTTGCAGGTTTTTGATTGATTGTTGTAGGCTGATGATCTTTTCCTTATTTTCCATGATATTTTTGGTGTGATTTGTGTTTTGTTTTTAATTTCCCAGATATACTCAAAAAACATTCACTTGCTGTTCATATTTACTATTTGTGAAAGATGTTTTTGTGTGCATAGTTTCTTTGTTTCCAGGGTCTGTCAGTTACTCCTATGTATACTTTTTCTTCACTATCTGGTGATTTTACCGTGGCTTGGTATATTATGTTGTTTTGTAAGCAATTATCATTTAAGGGACATTCATTCTTTATTCTACAGTTACATGTGGGTTTAATTTGTTCAGGTGGTTTGTTAATAGTTTTCCTGATGTGCATTTTTATTATTTGTGCCATGTTCTCGGTGCAACTGTAGCTGATTTTTACAGTGTTTTTATTGAATATTTTGTATAGAGTGCTTGATTCCAGGAAGTGTTTAAGAGTTTGAAGAATATTTTACCTACGTTTGTTTTTATGTTTTTGCTGTACAGTGGGTTGAACTATATGATATTTCTCTTTCTGTTGGCCTTTTTTGTGCTCTGTGGTAAGTGAGTGTTGCCAGGAATCCACTATATTTTAGGGCTGTTTTGTAGTCTTTCTTAGCCTTTTAAATATGGTTTTATTTTTGAAAAGCCTGCAGTTAATTGATTTTGGTATCTGTTATCTACTTTAATAAAACATCAAAAACCAAAAAGAATAAATGATACAAAACGAAAAACAAGTAAAATAAATTAACCCAAACAAATAAATAAATAAACAAGCCACTCCCGCAAGAATAACCGCCAGAATAGATTACCCACAATGCACCACTGACACATATATATAAATAGTCAAGGAAAAATCCAACATTTGCAGCCTGACGATTGCATCTAGCATGAAACAGCCTATTGCCTCTGAGTATTGACTTCAATGTTCACTTTTATATTTATATTTACATACGCTCTATCTCTGATATTGAGCACTTTATTCCATAAATATAGCACACCATAAAACTATATTTCTTCATATATAAACATACACAATAGATTTATTTTTGCAAACAGCCTGAAAAGTTGAAAAGTGATAAAACTTCAGTTGCTGGTTTGTGAGTTTTTAAATTGTTTTTATTTATTATAATTTATTGATGTTTTATATATATATATATATATATATAGTGAACTCTCCTGTCATATTCGATGTATGAGGGTCAATCAGCTCAGTTCCTAAGAACTGACAGCCAGATACCAATACATATGATTTGATTATAATGGTGAAGGCTTTGTGCAGAACCAACCACACTTTTTAGAAGGGCCGGTGCACTACGTACCACAAGGTCCCGAAACAACCCTCTGCAGGTTTTGAATTCAGAGTTGTCCTTTTCCTAGACCAGTTGCCATCCAAGGCTATAAAACCCAGTCTGTCCTGCTATCTACCCATAGCTGGAGGGAGGAGAAGGGGATTAATACTTTTTCCAAGGTTATTAGCACATAAGTGAATGTAATGGATTCAATTGGAATTCAAACTCAGCTCTCCGATTCCTCAATCTGAGCCACTATCACTATCCTTCCTTATATATATATATATATATATATATATATATATATATATATATAAACAACAGATTGTGATTTGCCAGAAAAAAAAAATGGCCAACCAGAATATTTCTGGACGGTAACATTTTTAAGATAAGTAATCTTTGTAATTCTAGTTCTTGGTATCAAGAGAGAGCATTTTTCTTCTTCTATGTAACATTGTACCTTCAAGAGATGAGTGATCTCTATAATTTTCTGTAACTTTACTATGTTGGCCTTTTTTGCTATCTCTCCAAATCCCTGTTCAACCAACCATTTACACAAGCTCATTGGGTAGGTTATGTACTGCTTTCTGCCATATCTTTTGCCTTCAATGTCCTATCAGTGCCAAATTTTCTAAACCCTCTTTCCTTATGTTCCCTAAAAATTTCTGCTGTCTCCTTCTGATGTTAAGTATAAGTGTCCTTTTTTTTTCCATTTTCTCTAAAACATTGTCATTGCTTATCCTTCTGTAGAACTATGTTTCTGTTACCTCAAGTCTCTTTATATGTGATGAGATTGTCCAGCATTCACTGCCATATAGGAGGACTAATAATAAATAAAATTTCATGTTCACTTATCTTGTCACTACTCAGAGTTTCTTACATCCACTTATCAGGGGATTTGATTGTAGGGACAAGATATGTTAACATTTATTTCCATATATACACACTTTTACAGTGTATAGCTCAAGTCAACTGATTTTCTCTTCAGATTAACACATTAGTGTTACTCATGTAATCCAGAAGTTAATCCTGAAAGTTTGTTGTTAGCAATGTCTGGATCATGACAGACATCAATTTGAAAACACAATGACAAAATCTTAAGAGCATGCACTTATAATAAATACCATCTTCATACGCATTATTTAAATCATATATAGTTGGTTGAATTATCGAAAGCTTCAAAATGTATATAAATATTTTCGAGACACACACACAATATGTATGTATATATATATAATTACTTAAATGTTTTAAGTAATAAAATATGTTAGATTAATAAATGAAAAATCCAGTCCTATATATATATGGT